GGATCATGGAGAAATAATGAATGAAACCCAAGTAAGTGCCAGAATATTTGGAGAAATAGTCGAAAAACATCGTACCACTGCTTTGCGAATTTGAAGAAGCAGAATTTTAAGTCATTTAAATATTTCGAACACCAAGAATTATTGGACGGGGATGAAGAACGTAGTGCAAATTTTATCTGTTTTTTAATTATTATTAACAAGTACTTAACTTTGTGAATTGTCGTTTAGTGTTTAATAAATAAACTTGCTTTTGAAGCAGTGTGTTTACTTATCAACAAAATATATTTCATTTTTAAAAGATTCTTGAATGTTTTCAGTGTACTTTTTGTAACTTTTTATACAGAATATAACCATAGAATATAACTGAGAATATTTTTGACAGATCTCTGTAAAAGATAAATTGTGATTGTTATGTTGGTTTGAATTTGGTATTTTTGTATCTCTCATAACTCAAGAACGAATTTAATTTAAAATGAACAATTTGCTTCATTTTAAGGAGCTCTTTAAAAAGTTTCATTTTTAAAATTTACATGGGATTTTCTATGTCCAGGTCGGCGATGCATAACACACGGTATACAAACAAAATATAAACAAACCGTTTGTTTGAGGATTTTAATAAAAACAGAAAATGAGTTAAATATACCAGTACTGTATTAAGAAAAAGTTGTTGAAAATAACATGTTCTTATTTTAAAACTAAATAAAATCTCTAAATCTGTCTCTGATAATAAAGAGTTAAATTGAGAACTAGTAATCTAGCCATTCACACCGACACATTAGGTTAATTCATTGTAGGGAATTATTAAACAATGACCATAGATCATAGATACTTTATGGATGCAGCTATACCATAAGATTTTATAGAATATAACTATTGTTTTTTACATCTCCTGTCCGAATTGAAAGTGTAAAAAATGATATGATGAAACATGCTTCAATATGACGACAGATGAACAATTCTTAATGGCATTTAAATTAGATGTTTTAAGAGATTTTATTAAAAAAAAAATGGTCAATATGTGGTGGTCCGAACTGTATTCCAGAAACTTCGGCAGCATATTCTGCAGATAAAAACAAGTAAAAAAGTTCGTATAAATGTATGTCCTAAAGTGACATTTATATTTTGATTTTTTTAAATAACTTGAGAAGCAACGTCAATATTTGGATGAAAATTGGTGTCTGGGAATTTTTGACATGGAAAATTTGATTTTGATGTCAATATGACTCCTACTTGTAGAGGGCGCCACCTACATATCTTTTAACTTGTTTGTAGAGTAATAACTTTTCGTTCGTACCTGTATAAAACTACTGAGCAAAAAAATACACATTTACGAAGTTTTTTACGTAAAAAGGTCTCTTGGTAAAAATCGCTACGAGTCATTATTGTTCTCGAGATATTTAGAATCGAAATTATCCGTTGACTAAACAGTTGTTAGACTGAAATCATAAATTTGAAATGTTTTTGTGCTAAAATTTCAACAGAAACTGTTTTATCATAATTTTTTCGAAGAAAAATTTATGTTTAATTTAAAAAATAAAAAGTTCTCAAATATACAATTTCAAATAGCAATCTACTCAACATGTTTATTTTTGGTCAATAATGACATGTATTGATTATTTCCATTCTAAATATCTTGAAAATGGTTGCTCGTAGCGATTTTTACCAAGAGACATTTTTTACGTAAAAAATCACGGAAGTGTATATTTTTTCACTCAGTAGTTTTATACAGGTACGGACGAAAAGTTATTACTCTTCAAAACAGTTAAAATACATGTAGATGGCACCTCCTACAATTAGGAGTCATATTGACATCAAAATCAAATATCTCATGTCAAAAAGCTCCCAGACACCAATTTTCATTCAAATATTGACGTTACTTCAGAAATTGTTTGAAAAAAATCGATATGAAAATGAAACTTCTATACCCTGTATCTCCGAAACTAAGCATTTTAGGACATATCATAGACTTAAAATAAAATATAGACTGAGCATCTCATTCATAAATAGCTGAAACATGCGGTCAGACACTGTCTTGTTATTGTTGTGTTATTGTTTTAGGTTATAACGAGTGCGACACGAGCGATAGATAGGTTGTCTCTGTCGTAACGGTCGTTCCCTGACGGCTCTGCCGAGAAACACACTGTCAGTTTTAATCTGTCCAACACTTAACAACACTAAAGACAAAAATAGAAATGAGGAAACGTCACGCGTACGACAGAGATGTAAAAAAGGAGAATACTTTTATTGCTGACTTAAAAGTTTGGATGGTTATAAGACAGCTTATTCAAGATCTGCGTGTTAGTGGAGTTCTGAATCAGATTTTTTACATTAGATGTAAAAATATCTAAGTAAGGGTGTATTCCGTTGCTTACCTTGGTTATGGTTTTATGCTCCGTTTCTATCGGTTTCCCGAAAGTTTCCTTATTACGGAACACGGTTCCAGAAAAATTCGGTTAAAACTGTCACCAAACTAACCAGCGCGAGAAGGCTGGTTTTTCTGGTTTTGTTTGTCATATCAATTAGTAGTGGGAACTATCGAATGAATACTATCGAAACAATACATTCGAATAATTCGATAGCTAGTAAGAAAACATTCGTCGACAACTGCCTTGAAATATTGTATTCTAGTAATTCGGCAGCAAAAACCATTCATTTATAAAATTCATTCATTTATCAAATTCATTTATTCGTCAGGATCGATTTTAATGAAATATAAACTGGATTTTAGTTGTCGTCCGGCGACGTAGGTTTCTTTCATAGAAACCCGACGGTCGGTGGCAATGCTATGAAAGAAGCCGGCATCTTTGATTTTTTGCGTAGTCAAATAAAGATAAGGACACATTATTTTTTTTATTGAGGTGCTAATATTTACACAGAAAATACATTATGAAGGGCGCTGTTGCCATATATTGGTATTAGTTGGTATTAGCAAAGAATATTATTCTTTAGCATTAGTTAGTTAGGGATAGTATGTCTAATGTTTTGCATTTTTTTATTAATATTCCTTTATTACACTGCAATAATACTTTTTATTTTGGATGTTGGAAAATGATTTTTAATGTTTTTAAGCAAAGACTGGTTTAATAAATAATAATAACAGTAATAATTTGTTATACCTATTAACAACAAAATTTAAAATCATTTAATAATATAAACATTTTTTTAAGTAGTAGCAAAATATAAACAACAAATAGAAGTCAAAAGTATTTATATTAGATCCTATTTAAAAATAATATAGTCTCTAAATGGCAACGTTGGTTTATTAAATAATAATAATAATTTGTTATATTAACTAATTTATTAAATAATTTGTTATATTAACAACAAATTTTAAAATCATGAAATATAAACTTTATTTTTAATTTTCTAAGCATGCAGTGTAATGGAAGGAAAATATAAATAAAAAATTAGAAATCAAAATTATTTATATTACTTTTTATTACTTTATATTACTATTTAAAAATAATATTTACTTTTACTGGCATTTACTTTAAAAAATAAATGAAATATTTCTTCGCAAAAAACTACATGTAAGAGAATTAGCATAAACAAAATACAAACATTGTTAACTTTTTTTTTAAATTGGCACGTGTAAAACTTTCAATTTAATTTTCTCACCCCAAAATTTGAGTTCAATAACCCCCCATTTACTTAACCACATTACTTAAATATGATTATTAAGTTCAACTAATTCATATTATTAAAACATCCAAAATACAAATATGTATTTTTAAAATTAATTGTAAGTTCATCTTATCTCTCTTAAAAATTGTTACTTCTCATAATTTCCCATTAAAAAAATGCAATCTAATCTAACCATAATATACCATATAAAATTAAATAATTGAAAGATCGGGCTACGGAAAAACACACAAATTTTCGGAAAAATTTTGACCACTTCGTACACAATCGTCAATTAAAAAAAAAAATACTATTTTAGTATTTGAAATATTTTAATAAACGCAAAAATAGCATAGTATTTACAAGGCGAAGTTATAAAAATTTGGAAGAACTAATAATGCACTGACGCACACAAAAATCAGACGAATACTAAATTTCATTTACCAAAAGTCTTCGATAGTCGTGACTCGTGGCGCAACGATAACCATTTAGTCGCACGGCGAGGTTGTCACTTATGCTTTAGTATACAAATGAATGAATGCTTTTATTCGAATAAAACCATTCGATAGTTGAAATCATTCATTCAGTAACCATTCGATAGTCTAATTCATTCGATAGTTGCCATCGCTAATATCAATGTCATTTATGTGACAGAAATCAATCAAATATTGGAAGTTCGAGTGAAATTCTCATTTAATTTCTAAAATTTGTAATAATATTTTGTATTTACATCCAAAAGCAATGGAGGTAGGCAGTAAAGGTAAATAAATTTCATTAACTAAATAGAATGACTTTTTAGGACCATTTAAACTTATTATGCAGCCATTGTCTCTTAAAGTCAGGAACATTTAAAGAAAACATGAAAAACAAGACAACAAGTAATCGTGAATGTTTTTTAAGCTATAAAAATATAAATATTGAATAGATTTGTTTATTTTTTATTGATCTGTTTTAATATTGGACCTGCAAATCTTCACTTGAGCTGTCTAACGAGTTTAACAGTTTATTAATAAAGTACTTCTCAATATTAAACTCTATTGAAAGAAGAAGCAAACGTAAAAGCAGAGAATAGGTACATTAAAAATGAATAAAAGATAAATTTTATAACAGAGGTATTGAAATTTAGAAAACGTCAACATTTGACGTTTCCAGTATTTTACCAAACAGTTCCGTATCAAACCGATGTTTTTCAGGAACCGTTCTTTACCGTAGTTTACCGGTCTGGTTCGCCTGGTTTTGCAACGGAATACAGCCTAGGTAATCGGGTTTCGTAGCAAACGATACGAATCGAAAGGCTGGTAATGAATAGGCTGTGGATATAGCTTTATCCATAAAGGTATGTATGATTTAGGACCGTAACAAACATATATATGCAATACCTTTTGTGCTGAGCTCCCGTCTTGAATGTCGGAAATAAAAATACCCTGTCCAACTTCGGCATGTTTGCCTTCTATTATCATAATACCCAAGCTCTGACCGGTCTGCTTAAAAAATAAATAACAAAATGGAAATAAATAAAAATGAAATAAAAGAAAAACTAAAATTGTGAAACGATGAAATTATGAAAGAAAAATAAAAAATGAAAAATATTTTGTGTTTGTTAGTGTGTTTATCTGTGTAGTGAGACATATATATGGAAAATATTTAATGTCTATGATTTATTTTTCTCGAAATATACAGGGTGGTCCGAACTGTATTCCGGAAACTTCGGCAGCATATTCTGCTGATAAAGTAAGTAAAAAAGTTCGTATAAATGTATGTCCTAAAATGCTTAGTTTCGGAGATACAGGGTGTTGAGGTTTAATTTTTATTTCGATTTTTTCCAAATAATTTCTTAAGTAACGTCAATATTTGGATGAAAAATGGTGTCTAGGAGTTTTTTGACATGAGAAATTTGATTTTCATGTCAATATGACTCCTACCTGTAGAGGACGCCACCTACATATTTTTTAACTGGTTTGAAGAGTAATAATTTTTCGTCCGTACCTGTATGAAATTACTGAGTAAAAAATATACATTTTCGACATTTTTTAAGCAAAAAAAGTCTCTTGGTAAAAATCGCTACGAGTAATGGTTCTCGAGATATTTGGAGTCGAAATTATCAATACCTGTCATCATTGACATAAATTAAACATGTTGACTAAATAGTTATTACAAGTTCATAAATTTGAAATGTTTTTGCGCCAAAAGTTCAACAGAAACTGTTTTATCAGCATTTTTTCGAAGAAAATTTTATGATTAATTTAAAAAAATAAAAAGTTCCCAAATTTATCATTTTAGTCAAATAACTTTCTACTCTCTCTCAACGTGTTTATTTCTTGTCAATAATGACATGTATTGACTGTTCCTATTCTAAATATCTTGAGAACAGTTGTTCGTAACGATTTTACCAAGAGACATTTTTTACGTAAAAAATCACAGAAATGTATATTTTTTCATTCAGTTATTACTCTTCAAAACAGTTAAAATTCATGTAGGTGGTGCCCCCTGTAAATAGGAGTCATGATGACATCAAAATTAAATTTCTCCCAGACACCAACTGTCATCAAAATTGACCAATTGATCCAATTGACGTTACTTCAGAAATTATTTGGAAAAAATCGAAATAAAAATGAAACTTCTACACCCTGTATCTCCGAAACTAAGCAATTTAGGACATGCATTTACACGAACTTTTTTACTGCCGAAGTTTTCGGAATACAGTTCGGACCACCCTGTATAGTAAAAGGTCATATTTCAAATACCACTCGAATTTTATGGGAAACAAGAGAGTTTCAGAGAGTTCATTATTCTTTCCAAAATTTCAAGGAATTTGGTAAAAATATTTTAGGAAAATTTCGAATGCCATTAAAAATAAAAGATGCTTTAAAAGTAATGCTGTAGCCTGTAGGTATATATACAGTATGTCCCCTGATTGTCTTCACAAAAGGAAACATGTTTTATTATTGACATTTTGAGAAAAATGCACTCTTCATAGAAAGTTTTGCTTGTTCTATTGCTGTATGGCTAATCCCGTTTGTACTTTTCTAAATTTCACCGTTTTAGAGAAAATTAAGAAAAATATGAAAATACCTTTGAATTTTTCCCATTTGAAGTCCTATAAAATTCAAAAGGCGTTTCTGTGTTACCTAGTATAATATCGTTTTCATCCTTTGATATATCCTAATATGTATATCGTTGTTATTGAGATAATTTTAGAGTCATATATATATTTTGTGCTGTTTTAATCCCATGCTATGGAACTACGGGAAGAGTGATAATAGTTATCGGAAAATGGTGATACACTAACAACAGGAAAAAGTATGACATTAATCAAAATTAATAATAACCATATGTATATCAAAGAATGAAGTCGAAATTATATTAATAGAAACGCCTTATAATTTTTAGGACTTTGAAAAAATTCAACAATATTTTCATGTTCTTTTTAATTTTCTCTAAAACGGTATGGAAATTTGGAAAAGTATAAACGGAATTAACCATTCTAGAACAAGCAAATTTTTTTATGAAAACTGCATTTTTCTCAAAACATCAAAAATAAAAAAAAGTTTTTTTCCGCTTGTACAGACAATCCGGGGACATAGTGCAGATATGAATAAGAATTTAAAAATAAACGTTCTATATCTAATTTAATAATGACTCTTATGATAGTTATTTTCCTATGTCTCAAAACCTTATAACATTCTATATTTTGTATTTTGTTTAAAGAATGAGTCATCAGAGGAACATCAGTGTATCATTGGTAAATTATAATGGAATTTTTTGCAATATTAATGAACCATTAAAATATCAGTCGAATTATAACAATTATAAATTTATGTATGGATATGGTTTATTGGTTAGAATTATAAATGCATAGTTAATTATTCAAAATCTTATATTTTTTATTTTATATATTAATAATAATAATAATAATAATAATAATTTGACTTTATTTATGTAAAATAAATATATATTTTTTTAATAAAATATATATATAAAATATATATATATATGAAACGAACTCTTTAGTTTTGTTTGACTTTTTTATCTACAGTAGTCTCTGGATTGTCTTATTATTATTATTGTCTCATAGTTATTATTAATTTTGATTAATGTCATATTTTTTGCTTTTTTAATATGCTCAAAAGGCATAAAATTTATTTAGTTCAATGCTACGGAAATGGTGATTATACATTTTATGCTTAACATTTTAAAATATATAGTAAAAAATATGACGTTAATCAAAATTAATAATAATCATCTATCACAGAATGAAAACGAAATTGTATTAGTACCATAGAAACGCGGTTTGATTACTGGAAAATTTGGAAATTGTATATTGATATTTGGAAAAATTCAACTATATTTTCTTATTTTTTTGATTTTTTTTCTAAAACGGTATGGAAATTAGTATAAACGGGATTAACCATTTTAGAACAAGAAAAAACCTACATATAAGAAATTTTATAAGAAATATATAAGAAATACTATAAGAAATTTTTACCAAAAAAATAATATTAAAAATGTTTTTCCTCTTGTAAAGATAATCCGGGGACATACTGTATATTTAGGTCTTTTTAAACATATTAACTTTATAAAAAAAGTTAAATGTAAATTTAATTTAAAAGTTTTTTTAACATTCATTCCATAATAACTCACTTTTATACAAAAATAAATGTCCTTATATACTGGGTGCGTCTCAAAAGTGGGTCTCATCCCTATAACTTTTTTATTTTTTCAGATAAAAAAACGACATTTAGTATATTAGTATATGACATAAATTAGGATTAATTGGCTTATTCAGTTGTTTTTGGTCAGTTCCTGTTTCACCGGAAATGACTACAACTTTTGATTTTTAAATGGCACCCTCGGTATATTTTTACTTTATTCGATTGAAAATGGCACTCTGAATAGAATGGCATATCGTATGTCAACTTTTAACATTTTTGCTTTTAAAAAAAGTATCCTAAATTTCAATCTAGAGTGTCATGGCTGTATTAAATACCCTATTTTTTTAATCAAGGAGCCTTGGAAAAAAATGTCTGATCGTCTAATGTTTTTTGTGTCTTGTCCTGGCCGGTTAAAAATGCCCAAATCGTATTTTTAATCATATCTCAATTTTTTTCAAATAGAACAAGGGTGGCTCATTAGCATATTTGGAAAAAGCATTTTTTAACGAATAATTTGATATCACACATTTGGTATTTCGAGTCAAATTGTCGTTATGAACCGCAATTTTTTTTGTTACAATTTTAAATAAACCATCAAAAGTTGACACATGATTTGTCATTCTATTGAGTGTCATATTCTGTCCGATAAAGTAAAAAATACCGAGGGTATTATTTTAAAATCAAAGGTTCTAGTCATTTCCGGTGAAACAGGAAGTGACCAAAAACAATTGAATACGTCAATCAATCCTAATTTATGTCATATACTAACATACCAAATCTCGTTTGTTATCTGAAAAAATAAAAATGTTATCGGGGTCAGACACTTTTGAGACGCACCCGGTATACACAGTGCCAAAAAGTTAAAACAATAATTTAAAAAATCAAAATATGTTGATAAGTGTGTGTATTATGTTAACAGATAAAAAAAAATGGTTAGTTTTTATTCAATATTATGAGGAACTAAAAAAGGTATGTAACAAAAATAATATAAATAAAAAAAATATGAAAGCCATGGTGAATATGTGGAATGGCAAATGGTGGCAAACAGTTAAAGCTGATATTTGTGAATGAAGCAAAGTTTATAAAAAAGGATCCTAATTTTATCATTTTCTTAAAATTTATAAAACACAATAGATTTAATAATAAAGCTGTTTAAATTTTTAAATATTCAACAACTATTTTAAATTCCAATCGACAAAATAAAATTGAAAATATTAATGTTTGGAAAAACAACGTAGTTCTGAGTTTTATAATTATTATTGTAAGAAAGATGCGATTTTTAAGGCGATTAGAATGAAAAATGAGAACAGATTTTAAATTATCCTTTTGAAAAACAAATTTTCTCAGAACGAACGGTTTTCTTTACTAATTTTATGATAATTTGACACTAAAAAAACTTCATGACAATGGAAAGAACCATTAATAAATCGTTTTGAAAAATCTAAAATTCAAATTGAAACATTAAACAAGAAGGGCGACTTGTAATGGAGTGAGATGTTTTAATATTCTAACAGAAATTATTAAACGTTTAAGATTTTTTTTTGTGAATGAGGTAAAAATTAGTTTTAAAATGTTCATAAAGTGGTACTAACCTTTTTGATGGCCACGGTTCGTACATTCGGATAGCTGGCACTAAAATGTTCTTCCGATGCCTGAAACAAATACAATATTGTTGTTAATACCTATTTATTACTACTAAAAATTAATTAAAATGCTATTTATTATACAGGGTGAGTCTTAAATAAGTGCAATTTTTTTCAGGGCTGTAGATCTCGATAAAAGAAACATATTTTCCCTTTACCGGTTTTCAAATAAATTTAATATAACCGAGTTATTTTAGTTTGAAAATTTCCAAAAAATAGTTATTTAGTTGGTACTAGTGTGTTATCTTACATACCGGGTGTTGCATCGTCGGACGGGACATAGGAAATCCCATGTAAATTTTAATGGGGTCAATTATTGGCTTCCCTAATTATTTTAGAGAATAATTCTATTTAAGTTTATTGAAGAGCACTAAAACCCACATTCAAAAGAATAATTTTAGATATTTTTGATTAGCTCGTTTACGAGTTATCGCCGATTTCTTTTTAAATATTTCTCCTTTCTTATGGCCCTGTATTTACTTATGAGCACCAGTCAAGGTAAAAGATAACTGTCAAATGAAGTTGTCATTTCAGAAATTTACCTATTTAGTTGAGTACCTAAAACTGTTGAGTTTTTCGGAAAAACTCTTAAACACTTATATTTTATTTTGTTGTTTTACATATTTTAAGATTTTTTATAAATTTATACAGGGTGTTTCATAAAATATGACCATAGAGTAATCACACGATTCTGCTTAAACTGCTTGACGTTTAAAGCTGATTTTTGGCAAACGGATTTACTGTGGGGTGTAAAGGTTCGATAAGGAGGGGTTTCTCGAATCTCAAATTCCAAGAGGGTGAAAACGCCCCTCAAATATTACAATATTTGTTATTTAAAAAACGGTTAGTCTTTCGGGAAAACGCTTGGACAAGCATAATTTATTTGTTTTTTACATATTTTAAAAAATCATACAGGGTGTTCCAAAAAGTTGGGTATTTTCTTAACCACGATTTTGCTTAAACTGCTTGACGTAAAAAGCTTATTTTTGGCAAACGGATTTTTCGAAAGTCAAATTCCAACGAGATGAATCTACCCCTCAAATATTACCAAGTTATATAATAATATAGCCATATTGTTTTTTCTCATGCTGACATAAATGTGAGAAAATTTTATCCAGTTTGTATGTTAATGGTGATTCTTGCTTTGCTTTATCATCACCATTACAAATGATTAATTCGACGCGAACGAAGTCGCTGGTACACGCTAGTACACCTTATAAAGTTTCTGCACCAGTATTTATAATATACGAAATTCAAATAATTATTTTTTTGACAGAAGGAAATAAATTGTCTGTTGGTTTGACACTTAATGTCAAAGGAAGCTAGATAAAATCAAGAAAAAATTACGCTTTAAAACTAAATCTAAAATAATTTAAAAACGAATTATTTTAGGTATAGGCACATGTAGAGTCAAAAAGTAACGAATTAAAAAACCTTTTCACTAGTGAAATAAAAAAAGTGGGTTTCCATTTGAAAAAAATGATTTACGATAATTTTTTAATCGCTCAATTCCATCACAGCTACGGCCAATATTATATGACGTTCCAACAATTTAATTTTTGAAATCGATAGCCACATGTCTTCTCTTTATATCACAGTGGCTGTGGTAATCACTAAATTTGTCGTTTAGGCTATACAGATTTTTTTGACAGAGAGTGTTTTTTCCTCCAAAAATTTTAAAATTTTTTTTTTCTCAAAAACGGTTAATGTTAGGTATAGAGTATTTGATATCAAAATTTATAAAATTTTACAGAGAATTTAAGCATGTAATAAAAAATAGGGGCTTTATAATAGCTATTTAAAATAAGAAAGTTGCTGTCAACTTCCGGTATTTCTGGAAGTGCCGCCATATTGAAACTATTTTTAATCGATAGATCTCGTTTTGAAACAGTAATGTGCAAAAAATCTCCGATCTAGATATTGTAGTTCTCAAGAAACTTCTAATGCACGCTCAGACTGGGACACCCTGTATATCAGAAACTATGATTACGGTCATTGAATTTGACACTTTATGTCAGTTTAACAGTATATTTTCGTACTTTTATGCTTAGGCGTAAAAGTGCTTCACTGTTATGCCTAGTCGTTAAAATGACGTTTTTATATTGTCAGTCATGTCGGAAAAATTAACACTTTTGTGACGTTTTAAAAAAAATATTTTTATTTGATGACTATGGTTACTTATTTCTGCAACTCAATGAAAATTAAAAAAAGCTCTAGGCATATTCATGAAATTTCGACATAATGAATTTCAAATAAAAATGCTCCAAAATCATTTCGATATATATGTTACTTTTTTACTTTATTTAACTTCATTTTGTAACGTTCAATAAATGTAACTTGCCTTTAAATTTCTAGGTTTTCTTCGCCTGAATGATAACAATAATTTTTTAAACTGTACTGATATTTTCGACATATTTTTTTGAAAGAAAAATCTTCGTTACACTCTCCTATAGAACAACGGTGACACCATTTCACAGTATTTCTAACATCTATCAAGATCAGGGTTACTTCCAATGGAAATTTTGATTATGAAGCAATAAAAAGCAAATTAATTTAATAGATAGGTGCGTTTTTAATGAATGTATATTAAACCACGTGCTCTATAATGTTCATTAAAGTTGTTTACGATTATAGATTTTTTATTGATACATTGTCATAGCCTTCTATGAATTTACATACTATGACGTGTAGTATTTACGTTAGTTATTCATTAATGAATGATGTTTGTGGAATAAAAGTGTTAAATGAAAGAAGGTGGCCAGAAATGAAGAGACCTGATTATACAGGGTGTCCCAGAAAAAAGTGCAAGTATTTTAACTGGTAGTATGGCTACTAACTGGTAGTTCAACCCCAGAAACACGAGTTTTTTTCACAAAAAAAAAATTGAAAATACATTTTTTGAAAAAAAATTGGATTTATTTTTAGTTTTTAGTTGAAAAACATAATTTCTTGATAATATGGCATCATAGGTAGTAAATTAAATTTGCAAGAAAGAAAACCCAGAAAAGATCCAGTGGTTCTCAAAATTTTTGCAAAAAATAATTTTTCTTGGAAATTTTCAAAGTAAAATAAATCCGTTATTTTGGACTTATTTGAAAAACGACAAAGAGAAAATATGTTTCTTTTATCAAGATCTACCACCTCTTAAAATACTCGCACTTATTTCTGGGACACCCTGTATATTTTAAGTTTTCAGTAAAAGACATTGAAAAAAAGTTTAGGAAAGGTTTACAATTAAGTTCATACCAATTAAACTTTTAGTCACGTGATTAAGCTTGACCGGCACAGCGTTGCCAATTTTTATACATTTTTTTTAATCAAAATATTTTAGGAAACAAAAATAAATTAATTATAAGTACATAAACTAGGCCAAAATTGGCCGTGGTGTTGAGGGGGATAGCATAGGGGCATACGGTCTGGGCGAAAGGAACGGTAGGGGAGACAGACTTGTGCAATTCTGTGTAGAGAATAACCTCTTAATCGCTAACACCTTTTTTAAACAGCACCCCAGAAGACTGTACACCTAGAGGTCACCTGCAGATAGGGAGAAAAAAATTGTCAGGAATCAGATTGATTTCATTTTGCTCGGCCTAAGCTTCAAAAGGTATATGAAGTCAACAAGAACCTACCCTGGAGCAGACATCGGCAGTGACCACAACCCTGTCGTGCTGGACTTTAGGCTCAAGAGATTCTTGAGAGTTAAAAGAGAAAAAACGGCAAAGAAAATAGACATCGCACTATTGAACAACCCCGAGAAAAAGAAAGATATCAGTTCTAAGACCGAAAAAGAACTAGAAATGGTAGAGGTACCTGTACGGGAAGAGGATGTCGAAAAGACATGGAATGATTTAAGAACTAGAATAACTAATATCCAGGAAAAAGATATTGAATTCACGGCAACCAACAAAAAGCAGGAATGGATGACACAGGAAATACTAGACCTCATGGATGACAGACGGAAGCAGAAGGCAAACCCGATAGAATACAAACGTTTAAATGGGATCATTAGGAAAAAGTGCCGGTAAGAGAAAGAGATCTGGATGTCAACAAAATGTCAAGAAATAGAGCACCTACAAGCAAAGTATGACACCTTCAATGTTTATAAAAAAGTGAAAGAATTTACAAACAGACACAGAAAACACCAAGAAACAATCCTAAGAAACGATAACAACGAGATAATTCTAGGAGTAAAGGCTAAGCTTGTGAGATGGAAAGAATATATCGAAACACTTTTAATGATGACCGACCCTGTTCCCCACCACGGATAGATCACATACTGAATGAAAAGGCTCCAGCAATAACCAAAGACGAAGTTGTTCATGCAATAAAAGCGCAGAAAAGCGGAAAAGCTACCGGTCCCGATAAAATAAACGTTGAAATACTTAAACTCATTGCAGATAACGAAAGCAGAAGTCTAGATTTGGTAACAGCATTATTTAACAAATTATATAGCTCAAGCAAGAAGTGCGAAAATCAGATGGACAACACCCAGTTTGGCTTCAGAAACGGACTCGGAACGCGTGAAGCACTCTTTTCCCTAAATGTAATGACACAGAGGTGTAGAGACATGAATGTGAATGTATTTGCATGCTTCATAGACTATCGTAAAAGGCGTTCGACTGTGTTAATCATCAGAAGATGATCAAAATTCTAAGAACAACCGGAGTTGACGAACAAGACCTACGTTTCATATCAGAACTTTATTGGCATCAAACGGCGGTAGTTGAGATGAAGCAGTCAACATCGGAAGATATACAAATCAGACGGGGTGTTCGGCAGGGTTGCGTCTTGTCTCCGCTCCTGTTTAACCTGTACTCGGAGACTATATTTAGAGAAGCACTGGATCGAATCCAGGGCGGAATCAAGTTCAATGGAATCCCAATAAACAATATCAGATATGCCGATGATACGGTTATAATAGCCAACGATATACAAGAACTGCAAAGCATTATAGATTCCGTAGTCCACTATCGTGAGATGTTTGGACTGCATCTCAATGTCTCCAAGAC